GTGGGAACAGAGTTTCTTTTTTCTATTGCTTCCATCACAATTCCCATACTTTTATGTTCCTTGTTTTAAACGAATCCAAGAGATGAGGACTTGAAAGGTTTCCATACTGAAGATTCATCCCCAGTTCAGAAAACTAGCATCATACATATGGGTTTCTTGGGCTTAGAAAGTGATCATTGGGGCTGTCTTGATGGTGGAAAGGGTAGGACGTGAAAGGACCCTTCCGCAATCTAGCCGGAGATGACTAGAAGCTCCTATTTCTAGAACCCGTCCCTCTCCACCTTCACCCTCCTCTTCTGTTCCTCCCCTCCCCTACGCCTTCCCCCCTACTTCCCCTTCCTCCACCCAGACTTCCACCCCAGGGTCGACTACTACTAAGACTAGAACAATGAGTCATTTTCCTTGTGAGATGAAACCCCTGTATGGGTTTCTGTTATTTTCAGAACATCTGGTTTGCAAATGAAAAGATCTCAGGGGCACAGCAGCACTAGGGAACAATTCTGAAGAAGCTTTTAACAAAACTTGAAATTGCTTAACAAAAAACCAATCCACTCCCCACCCTGCTGTTCCCTGGTGCCCTACACCATAACCCCTTCCGCCCCCCCCCCCCCCCAAGGAGGAGAGGGTGACTTTAAGAAGTAAGAGAGCTTTATCAAGACTTCCCTGTTTGGGCCTTTTAGCTTCTGTTCTGTTCTTGTCCCCTTTTTTCCCAGCCCCTGAGAAATGGGAGTTTAATTAAAGCATAACATAGTTGGAAAGAAAATTAACTGAGAATCCAGTAGAAAATAAATTTCGAAATTTAATTTTCCGGCACGTATTTTTGCTTTCAATAGATTTCAAGTAAGTCAGAAATAAATAAAGAAATGAATTTAAAAAAACTATATTTAATATATATTGGCCGGCGAAACACAACTATGAAAATAAAATTGTCAGGGGAATTCCTCGCCTGCCCTAGTGTCTAGATTTAAAGCAGCTCCGTAACACAAACTGAAGGGGAATTCAATTAAGAAAACCCATTGGCTCCTTATTGACTTTAGTTAAGAAAATAAACTCGGGGAAAGTGTATTAAAATATGTCTGGACTGCTTAGTACACTTCCATTTAAGCTTATGACAATCAAAATGGGAGAATTTAAATTCTTTACAATTAAGCTCTGCTTCTGAGCAGATTGGGTTCTCTAGGTTATTACACTGTGCATTTTTTAACGTAAACCCTGCACACGCGCACCCCAAAATGCAGACTCACCGTGAATCGGGGCGTTCTAAAGCAGGAGCACCACGGAGCAATTGGAGAAGAAAAAGTATTTAAGGTTGTGAATTTAATTTTGTTCTAGGATTTTCATTTTCATTTATGGCACCCGTTGTGTGTGAGACCACGGACTAATTTATGGATTAGTATTAAACCCCCAGTCTGTCACACTCAATGAACAATTCTAAGTTGGAGAGAATCCATATGAAAGGATTAGAATGTGCCACAGCGGAGCTTACACATGACTGTTTCAACTAAACATTGCCCAGCTGCCTCTCATGCAGTAATTTTTTTTTTTTTTTTGGCTACTTGGTTAAACGGCTACAGTCTCTAATCTCACACATTGTCAGTGCCTTTTCATTCTGTAAATATCTTATACTGCCACATGAAATATAGGTGATGTTTAATTTATTCAAGATAGGATGCCATAAACTGTTGGTATGGCCGGGAGACCGAGGAGTCAGTATTTCGTGAAATGTGCATCTTCCAAAACGTGCAGGGTCTGCCCTCGGATACCTTGTTTGATGATACTCGTAAAACAGCTGCAGAGGGACTATTAAGGCCACACACACTGACAGGGTTTGCAGGAACCTGGGATTGTTTTTTTGTTGTTGTCGTTGACCATATAAAGTAAGTATACAATAAATTTGCCCTGTTGTAATTAAAATTAAAATCAAGACAATAGCTCAGCAAGGCCTTTTTCATTCCCTAACCCTACAGCGTGGGAAGCCCAACTCAACTCTTCATGACCTCTTTCTCTCCGATGAGTTTCTAAAGGCAGCAGCAAAGCAGTTGAAAACAAGGCTTTGTTAGGACAATTAGGCGCTGTCATTTTTCAAGCTAATGACAGCGTTTCTAACTTGTATTGGAAGTGGACTCCTTGCGTTTTGCCCATACACTCCGAATATTACCCAACAATGGAGTGACCCCACGAGATGATTCACAGGGGTGGCCTGGCACCTCTCGCCAATCTTCTGATTAAGACACCCCGAATAAATCCCACTTCACAGAGCGGCACTCCCTTCAGAGCCAGGGTGTCTGCGGTTTCTGCATGAAGTCATAATGCAATTAGGAAGGAGAATTAGATTCTGTCACACTGCTCTCCTGCGGGGAGCACAAAGTCACTTCTAAAGAATTTTTTTTTTTTTTTAATTCTTTACTTGGAATAGCCTCTGTTCAGAGAGCACACCAGATGCTCTTAGAGAAATAGAATTGGTGCCTCCCCCAACACTCCCTCACACCCCCTTCAAACTGTGGCCAACCTATGTGTCTGCTGCGTTCCCCTGCTTCGTTGCTGACCATGGCCTTGCCACTTCCAGCCGCATGACTTGTGTGGTTTGATTCGAACGTGTGTTTGCTTTTAACTGTCCTAGAAAATGTTTCCACCCCCCCCCCACCCCACCCCCACCGCATCCCTTTCTCCTCCTGTTTTGGGTGCAATTGATGGATTTCCCGTCCCCATACTGGGGAAGCAAGCTGCACTGTGGACTGGGCTCATTCATTTTCTAGTGCTCACAAAGAAGCCGACGCCTAGGGTCACTTAACTTAGTTTCATGATAAAGTGGACAGCACGGTGATGTAGGAAGACGGTAAAAGGAGCAGTCATCAGTTCATGCTAAGATACGAGTTTTGAGGGCTCTAACCTCTAGGATTTACTCCACCTCCTCTCTTTCACGTTTATGCTACTTATTGACCTGCTAAGATTACAGCCTATGAGAAGCGCTACTCTAAAAATAACCAAAGTATTTATTACTTTTTTTTTTATTTTGTAAAGGAGCCAGTGCCTATCCATAAAATGTGTTAGCATGTATATAAATGTTTCTGTACAAATGTGCATTTGATCTTGCCCCTTAAGCTGAAAGCACCTGAAACTAACACTTGACTTGGATGTTTCAAGTAAGGACATGTGTCAACTGTGTCATGACGATCCCGTGTAGTGATGTTTCAACTGTACAATTTTTGGTATTGTTTTTTACTGCTATTTTATGCATACAGACTTGACTTGTAAGTAAGTATTATGTTCTTATGCAGTGTATTTTATGTTTTTCTTTCCTTCATCAATTCTTCAGAAACTCAGCTATAAGTTTCATTAAAGCTGCAGTGACTTCTCAGACTGCTGGTTAATCCTGGCTCCTTAGAAGGGCTGCGATTGTTTTGATGGTTATAGGGTCCTGAGGAAAGCATGCCAACTGAGGGGGAACACCGGTGTGAATTCATGTGTCCTGATTTGCAGATCAGAAGCACCAGGCTCGTTTGACCAGGAAAAAAAAAAAAAGATGGCATTCCATTGCATTTAAACATTGCCCGTGTCGAGTCCGGAAGAGTCTTTTGGAGTCTCTAGAACTCATGAAAATAATTACTAGCTTAAATAGCTATGTTAAGGGTGGGAGGTAGGGGAACAGATAACTACTTGCAGTTTCAACCAAGAACGCCACCCCAGCCAGAGATGACAAGTTCATGTCACCATCCCTCCCTGGCCAGATGGGGATAGTGGAAAGAAACATACTGGAGAGGTGTAGACTCGAACACGAAAGCATGGCCAGATGGGTTGACTTTGGAATGAAGTTGGCCACAGGAGTGGTGTTTAAAAAAGAAAAAAAAAAAAAAAAAAGACGACTGGAAAAAGAATGTCATCGTGCATTTTATTAGATATTTATCCCACTTTCCCTCTAGCCAGAAATAAAAAGAAACTTTCTTGAGCCCCTTGCGCCATTCCCTGTGAAGAGGATCCAGAACAGCACGCCTGGTTCGAAGCCCAGCAAAGAAGGAGGAGGAAACTTGAACGGCATCGGAAATGGAAGAAGAAAGAGACCACGGTTTCTTCCACAGCAAGTGCATTTGGCAACGCGAAGGCAGCCACAAAGGCGGGGGGCTCCCTGCAGCTCCCCACAGCGAACATGGTGCTGCCCTGGGAGCAAAGGGATGGCTGGATACTGTGGTTTGTGGAAAGTCACGTGATCGGAAGTGGTGTTTGGCCAATTGTGCGGACTCGGGTGTGTCAATGGTGGTCTTCTGCTCTTAGGTTGTAACCCAGGGAGTGCTGCAAAGTGAAGAAAGGATTCCTGGTGGCCGGGAGAGGGGGTTGGGAGTGGGGGGGGTTGTGTACAGAAACTTTATCGGGAAACTGTTAATATGTTCATTCCTATGGCCTCCCCATCCGTGGAACTTTCCAGCTGAACACTGCCAAAATAATTCCGTGGGATGGAAAACTTGAGCTCAAGTGTTCATGTACAGGCATCTGAGCGTAGCCACAGAGGATCCTCAAAATGTGATTGTTTGACTGATGCCTAATGGGCAGTCACAAACCCCGGGCGCCTGCGTGGGCCGGCTTCAGACAAAGGCAATGTTTGAATGTACGAATCCCTTGCTCCGCCAGCCTGCCGACTGAGCTTTTCCGCCCCAGTCCTGAGCCTTTATGTGTTCAGAGCCACCGAGTCTGCGCTGGTGTTTCCCCTCACTTTGCATGTTCCCCCGACTATGGACGAGCAAGTAGATGTGTCCTGGCAAGACCCCCAGAACCACAGAATTGACTGTTTTCCTCACTGGCTCGCAGCTTTGAGCTGAAGGCATGTCTTAAAACAGTGCAACTCACTTCAAATGCTTTTTGCTTTTCATTTATTATTGCTTGTCACGCGATTGTTCTTTGAAAGCTTGCTCATATATTATCTGTTCCATTTTTTTCCATTTTCCCTTTTTTTGCATGCCGTTCCTCCTGTTTCCTCCCTTCCTCCAATCCTCTGTTCCCGTCTGTAGACACGGCAGCGACGACAGAACCCGCAGTTCACGGTTGGTATCACATTACTGTTTATCTACTTTCTCAGCGCTGCTGAGAGGCAAGGCAAGCCTGGGAAAAAGAGAAATGCAGTCTTCAAGGGAAATCGTATTTCGAGTAGACTGATCTCATGCATAGACTGTAATCTTGAAGGCTTGGAAGGATGTCGAGTCTTGTCATTTCTGTTGTGAGTTCAGGAGCCCATGGTTGCCGTCTGGAGGGAGGCCAGTGACTGGCAGGCCAGGATGCGGGAGACCCGGCCACAGGTGGCCCTTATGGATAGAGCGCCACCAGACCCCAAAACACGAGGGATTTCAAAAATGAATATTGACCTAAAAATCATGGCCTTTGGATTAAAGGCCCAGTTGCTTTCTTCGTTTATAGGCTAGAGTCCCAGGTACATTTGGAAGAGGGGTCATTCTTGACACTCAGTAGTTGAGGCCGTGAAGGACAGGTAAGGGCAGAAGGATAGTCCTGTTTAAATTCACTAGGTGGTGGCAGGGGAGGGTATCGCTCTTCTCTTAATTATGTTCCCCATCATAGCTCCCTCTGCAAACCCGGGCCAGTTCACTCTTAATTTCCATGTGTGCACGCAGGCTTATACTAGCTAGCACTGGGCAGGAAGCCTCTCCAAGCCAGGAGGGGCACCAGATGTAAATTTTAACAGCATTAAGTGGGACTGAAAAGATCATTTGTGTGCGGGTATCTCGTAGGCAAAATACTACAAAGTAGGCTAAGGTTGTAAACAAAAAGTGACTAAAAAAGAAAAAACAAAACAGCCATCGGGACATCCTTTTCTATTTCCTCTCCGATTTACCAGGTTGGAAGAAGCCCATTAACTTTTCCGTGTCTCTCCAGTCGGGAAATTAGAATCATGTTTCATCTGTATATGACTTCATTCCCTAACCGTAACCTTAGTGATATTGTGCTTGGAGAAGGGATGTTACAAATCGAGCTAAATTTTAATAATTGAGTTCAAGGGGATTTTTTGGTAAAAGGCCTATTGAAATCATTTAGCACATTGTACAGGGCTGGACTCCACCATTTAAGCGACAGGGGGTGATCAGCCAAGCCTTATAGCAAAACATTTCTTCCTAGCACAGACTGACTTCCTTAAAACAGACCTACATTTGAGGACTTGGCAGTTGGAAATCTCTAAGTGAAACCCGTCCTATGTGAGCTGTCCCCGAAGGTCAGGCCTTGATGCTTGGCCCCCTGCCCCCAGTCCCCATTTGGACTTTCTGATGAGGAATTCCAAGAGAGCAAAATGAACTTGGGTGTGGAGCATTATTTTCGTCCCCACACCCCTCCCGCCTCACCTGGCCCTTTCCTGTCACCGGGCATAGAAGGAAAAGGTAAAGGGCCAAATACACTGACAATCATGAGAAATCAATTAGGTATAAAACCTCCACTTTCTAAGGTAATGCCCCATAGTGCTTGCTACAGCTCAGGCACTGCACTCCATTAAGCTTAGTTATTTGTAGGTTTCATCATTAATTGAGCACTTCCTGACTTTTATCGATTAGTCGCAGAGCTTTAAGGCTATTTTAATGCCGTTCAAGAGATTTTGTTCTATTCTTTTTAAGATGCTTTAAGTTCTGAGCTTCCTATAATTGACTCCAGGGTCAAATGTAACCATAAGATTCCTGAATTCTGTGAGATCTTTGAAGAAATATTGATCATTTATCTCCTAAGACTCCAGAGTTCTATTTCCTAGGTCCCTTCGATAAAATCCATGTACTTATGTGACTCTGATGGATGTAAGTCTTGGAGTTGGCTGAGGTATTCCAAGTAGGAAATATGTTCCCTGATCTGAAAAATGAGAAGTTAACCTAGGGCCCCATCGTGGTCTAGGACACGGTTTTTGGTCAGATCTTTCTTCCTGGAAAGAGAAAGTGACGGTGATCTCTCTTTCATGGTGTAACAAAGAGACACTTGGAATCAGGCTTTCTAGCATTCCTGGGGCAGAGAACAGAGAAGCAACCACTGCCTTATTAGTTCAGGGACAGCGATACACCACCAAGATGTTGTTCACTGGCTGACAGCCAAGAAATGTTGGGGAGGAAGAAAAAGAGTTTTCCCCTCCCCACTCCCACACATCCACACACGCTATTCCTTACCAGCAGGAGGACAGAAGTGATAACCCAGGATGGTCCCCTATGTAATACACATATAAACACATTCTCCTAACTTGTCTGATACCCTCATAGTGTCCTCACAAAGAGGTCCTACCACCCACAGCAAACAGCTTTAATGAAAGCCAAAGGAGTATCTAGAATCTTCCTTGATGGAGGGGAAATGGTCTTCAGGTCAGTCGTTGGGGTAGAAAAGGTGATAGGATATGGTGAAAACTATAAAGCAGGGACCCTATCTGGAACCAGATTGTCTTCAAGTAAATTATGGCTAAAACCCAGCTTCTTCAGTGCAGCAACCTTTTGACTGACATTCACTTGAGAATAACCTTGAGATGTTCATGAGAGAGATCTGGGCCTAGAAAAATGGCGTGGTTGGAGAACTTGGCAACTCAAATGACAAGACATATTAGGTCAGCCTGTCATGACATCTTTATTGGTCTTAAAAGGATTCATTTTGGAGTTCCTTTTATAGTTCTCCTTTCTTTTATAAAAATGAAAAAAATAATTTGTAAAAAAAAAAGCTTTCCCTTTGAAGACTCATTAAAATACTTTATTCAAGCTTGTGTTGCTAGAGTACGTAAGAAGTATACGAGTTGTTGATGTATGTTGGTCATTTGTTCTTACCAATATCTGATTGGAACAAGCATGTATTGGAAGGTTAGAAGTGCATGGGCATGACTCAAAATCAAATGGATTTTCTCCAAAAAGAAAACAAACAACAATCAGTCACAATGTGTTTTTCAGGATCTAATTGATGGTAGACATAAAAGCGAGTGTAAGAATGGGATCTTTTAGACTAGGATGACCGAAGGGATTCTCTTTGAATAAGGATCTTGAGCACTTGTGTTTTTGGAGCTCATCCTTAAGGCCTGGTCAGGAAGAATCCTGTGTTATGTGTGCATGTCGAGCAATGCAAAAAACGCTCTGCCAAATCCTGGTACTACGTGGTCTGAAACTAATGGCAGAAATGCATGAGTGACAAAGCACGGATGGTGTCGTCCTTACTATGATTATTGACGTGTGGGTGCGCGTGATGGTTTTTGTTTGTTCAAATGTGGGCGCTTCTCTGTGTCTTGTGCCTTGTTCTTTCTCAGCCCTGTGTGTACCCTCTCCCTTCCCCCACCCACCTCCCCTGTGTGAGGTTTGGGGTGACCGCATGCCCATGGTCTGGAATAGTGCTTGTGCTTTTGCTGCACTGCAGTCAGCTGGCTTCCTCTGGGTCAGAGCTTCTCCCTCCCTCCCCCCACTCCCCCTCCCCTCTCCTCTTCCCATTTTTTGATTTTCCAGTCTACCTATCCTTTTGCTTTCCACCTCTTGATCTATCAGAGGCTGATGAGCTCATGAATTTACATATCCCAAATGAGTTTTTCAGTAGTCTTTATTTCAGTATATAATTCTGGTAAGACTCAAACTGGGAACCCCCTGAAACAACTTTTCACTTTCAGTTTCGGTGGCAAAATCTTTGGCCTGTGCTAGATACACACTCACACCCTAGTCCACTGCCCTCAGGTCGCCACCCTCCACCCCACCCCCGCCCCCCAAAGCTCCCTTTCCCCGACTTGTAACATTTTATAAGTAGCACAAGCCTTACTAGAATCCTAAAAGCACATGAAATTCTTATCTTAACTTTCTGTTCAATTGCGGGCTCCTTCTGCAGCCCATCCAGAAGGCAAATAGCCAGCAGTGCGCATTATTACAACCGCTATGTCCGCCATCTGTGTATGAACCTCTCTGCACATCTCTCTGTATGAGTACACAACAGTGGCATTCAAAGGCTGTCATTCAGTCGAGGGACTCTGCAGACATTGTGTGTTCTACTCAAGAACAAAGCTAAAGAGGTTTACGAATGGCTGCAGGACCTGAAGATTGTGTTTCAGCCTTGATATGCCGTTTGGAAACAATGTGCTACTGTTTAACGGCGTGAACCAAATTTCTGCTCATGGGAAGAAGGGACAAACTCTCCACAAAAGCTGACAAAGCAGGAAGAACAGGATGACTGAGCTTTTAGATTAAAACTACCGGGGGCGTCTGAACTCTTATGGCTGGTGATGGAAGTAACAGTTTCCATAATATGGCCAAGTGATCAGATGTATGCCGCTTAGGTAAGAAAGAGACCATCGCCTACTTTTTCCTACTGGGAATGGTACTGGAGCCAGGGGGCTACATTTTTGTTTCCTTTGAGGTTTTCTTTTTTTTTTTTTAATTTTTATTCATTTGACAGAGAGAGAGCGAGAGAGAGATCACAAGTAGGCAGAGAGGCAGGCAGAGAGAGAGGTAAGCAGGCTCACCGCTGAGCAGAGAGCCCGATGCGGGGCTCGATCCCAGGACCCTGAGATCATGACCTGAGCTGAAGGCAGAGGCTTAACCCACTGAGCCACCCAGGTGCCCCTCCTTTGAGGTTTTCTTTAATCGTTCTTTTATGATATTTTTCTGAAGGAAAAAAAAAAAACCCTAATGAACCAAGCCCCACAAACATTGAAATTTTGCTTGACCTTAACTTTATTTAACTATCTCTAGGATTTCTTGCTGTTTCTAATGTTTGAGGTTTTCCTTAGCCTGGTTTAAGATTGCTACTTCACACCACTTTTAGAAGCCAGCGACGTCTGTTGGAAAGGAGGGGTAACAACCTCAGAGGCACTGAGGAGGCCCAGGGGACATGCAGCCCATCCTAGACCATGAACAAGTGCAACACACGTCTACCGTGCACGCGTGAAATTATCATGCTCAGAATTAATTGCTCAAAGAAAAAAAAAAGTCCCACATGGGCCAATAGTTAAACTTTTCACTTGTTTAACCAACTTTAAAGAAGTTTATTGGATACATTTTAATTAGAAGTGACAAGAAGGGTCTTCAACAGATGATATGGAAGTTTAAAGAGAAAAACCAAGAAGGGATTTCCCATGTATCATTAAACAGTGAAGTTTCCTTTTGGAAAACACCATCTGCCTCATAAAGTACATCTTTGTTTCTTTGAGAAAATAAGAGGTGTATGAGTTTGAACATGAAAGAGAACTACTTCAGTCAAAGCAATTCTAGGAGGTAAATTTTGCTTGTCCTCCCTTGTACACTCAGTGCCTCAGTACACTCTTCCAATTACACTTATTCAAAAATTATCCAACCATGGCCGAGCACTGTAGACTCATAAAATACAACAGTAGCGCAAAAACAAATTTAACGCCACTAATCGAAACGGCTTCCCACTTTCCGATGTAATCTGAGCAGTAGATTCCAGGTGATTTGGTGTATTTTAAAATTTATGCCATTAAAAATGACAGTTTCATCTTTAATGAGGTGTGTATCAACTGTCCGTTGCTTTTTAATGGGAAATTTTGCCTATCAGTGATATCTCATAAACGTATTTGTCTTTATTTTCTAAAATTAGCTTTCTCATGCCCTCCCCACGGAAGCAGGCATTCAGCAGTAAAGCCGTCTACTTGAAACATCCTTGTTTAATATGGTTCAGTGGGTGCCAAGCACGTATGTAGAAAGCTTTGATATTCATTGGGCCACGTAGAAGTGAGGGATTAGCCTTCTGAGAACTGCAAATTCATAATTAACTACAGAGAAGTACTTTATGTTGCCCATTTATAACAATTATTCAAATAATTGTATTCATCAGTCTTTATACAATGGATAAAGCCAATTAGAAATAGGAACACTTTCAGCCAATCAGATTTCAGGACAAACGGATAGCATCCCTACTCAGTTGCCTCCATAACGGATTGCCTTACTCACTACTTTTCCTTTTGTTGCCTAAATCTATAGTTTGGGAACATCCGCAGACTCAAACCCATTTCTAATTGGCATCTGCTCTTGAACATTGGCACCCAAGGTTCACAATGGAAATTCTTCCTCCGAGAGCTGACACGATGGCTTCCTTTCACACCACCAGCCTGGCTATCAGTATTCACTTGGCTTCTTTATAAAACGACTTACAAAACCCAAGCTTTTATTGACCATTTCTACATGATTATTTCTGTTACTTTGTGTTTTTTGTTTTTTTTTTTTTAAACTAGTGCGATCAGCTTGACATTGCTTGTTTCCAGAGCATTTGTTTCATGCTCTGGTTGGTAGTTCACTGAGCATGACTCCCACATCATTCATTCAGCAAATGCTTGCTGAGACTATACTCCGTGCTTGGCTATAGAGAAGGGAAGGATGAAAACTAAAGACCCGCCCCTCTCCCCAAAGTCCTTGTGGTTTCATAGGCCCACAAATATTCTTCCAGAGTGACAAATCCCATTAGAGAAGTGGACCCAGAGCCATCAGACTGGACTTTGAGCAGAACGTCAAGGAACAATGAATGGAGGCCTCCTTAGATTGTCTCGTATCTTGGTGGCTCATGATCTTCCTGAAAGGAGCAAGTAAAGCATGAGGAAATGGAATCCCACCCCTAGCCAAGCCTCCCGTTGTTTACCTACCTCCCACTCCCCCTCCTTTGATTCAGATCAGAGCTAGCTGAGAGCTGGCCCCGCTGGCCAACGTTGTTGGTGGCTCGGTGTGGACCGTGCAAGCCCCCCCCCCAGATTAGCTCCTGGCCTAACTGCTTTCTCAGCTTTGAGGGTTTCATTTTTCAGGCATACCACTGATTTTTTTTTTAATTCTCCTTTTTAAAAAGTCATTTTGCAAATCGGATTTTCTGATGAAGACATAACCTACAAAATCTGTAGTTAGCAGATGCCGTACCATTTTGAAATAAGTGATCCAAGATCGTCATAAATTGATAATGAAATGTATTTGTCAGTATTGGCAAAGGATTTCAATTTACGGGAAAATGTGAAATAAAACTTACATACAGCAGTATGTAACCTCGAACTGTATTTGTATTCAAGGGCTATGTCAGAGCATTGACGGTTAACAATCAGGCTTTATTTTTTTTTCTTTTTGCATGCTGTTATGAATGAGTGATTTTAAACATTCACCTTCATGTTTCATGTGCTTTGAAAGCGGAGACTGAGGAATCTTTCTGCCTTGATTGTGTATCAATAACAAAATGAAATGATTGGAGAAATGTACTTATGGATTAATGCATTCAAGCTATCCAAAAAAGAGCAAGATAGCAAGAGATTTGGCTCATGTTTTTTTTTTTTTAAGAAATTCATCCTCAGTTCTGAAGTGTTTTGTTTATGTCCCTTGAGGAATGAAAAGAAAAACGATTTGTTTTTACTTGTAAGGCCTTACTCAGTTGCCCAATTCCGCAGAAGAACTGGACAGTGAGGACCTCTCAGGTAAGGGCTAGTCATTAGGTAAGGCACTGCGGTGTCCAACCTGTGCGTGCTCTGTCCACTTCTACAAAATGGCCATTTGGTTTCCCGGGCAGTTAATAAGCAATTGTGGATTTTGAGATAAAAGGAAAACAAATTTTTATTAACACTCTCTTCCTCCTCGCCCCCTTCTTTTTCCGGTGCTAGTGGCATGTATATTTCTGACTGGGACTGATGGGGTCTGTGCAAGGGAGGGCAGCTCATCGTTGGATTGTATGAAAGCCACTGTTTTCCGTGGCGTAAAATACTTTCTATGCTCTGGCTGTATAACGGTTCGAGAGAAATGTTTTGCATTCAAAGCTGTTTAAAGATGTTGGATTATGAGAGAAGATCTTACTTTTAAAAAGAAAAAAAATTCCTATTGACCATCTACTTCTGTAGAATAGACTAGAAAAGCCACATCATAGTTATCTTAGAGGCGGGGGGAGGGGGCAGGGAGGAAGGGGGGCCATTGTTTTGTCACACACCATGATGTAAACTAATTATCCAGCTCAGACCTTTTTCACAGCACACTGAGCTCTTGCAAAAGTAGGTTTCATGCTTGATTCCAGGATTTAGGTGTTACTAATCCAGAATAAGAAGCATATCCTAAAAGGGTGGGGGGAGGGATTCAAAATGGTCAGAGCTAAACAGTTCCATGAGCTGCTATGATGTTCTGGGGCTTCCCTGCCAACCAGCTACAGCCCCTTCAGCATTTCGATCGGTTAATTCCTAATAAATCAGTAAGGAAGCCCCCTTCCTCCTCATCACTGTGATGGAGGCACCAAGGCGTAAGGCTGCAGATGCTGACTCAAGCCTTTGGAAGGAAGGGGTCCATATTGCCCCTTGTTGAAGAGACTTCACTTCCGCTCCCTTGAATAGTTAATTGCGAGGTGATGGTCCCTGACCGCGGGTTTCACCCAGCGAGAAAATCAGAGCCACCTAGTCTTTCCAAGTGCAGATTTTTCGCCTCTCAGGAGCTTCCATCAAACCTCGAAAACAGGGCGGGTGTCTTTATTTTTCGACGTAGCATGTCCCAGCTTGAGCTAGCTGTCAGATTTTCCCACCAAGTGGAAGCTCCGAGAGGCCGTGTTGGGTTTGTTCACTGCCGCATGCCTGTCGTGTAGCAGGCACTCGATCGATACTTGTTGGATGAATAAGTTCCAAATCCTAGTGAATTCAGATAAATAACTAGAAGATTAGAGAGACAGCCAGCCCATCAAGGGAGGGTTTCATTTTTGCCTCTTATGGGTGGGGTTTTTAGAGAAATTGCAAAAAAACATTAGCCCACTTAAAAGAAGAGATAAGTCCCGCTCCTTGCCTGGAATGTAATACTGTCTGTAAGCAGTCTGCTCTCGGGTCGTGTCCTGACCCTAAAGAACACAAGTGACCCCACGGCCCTGGCAAGGGGAACTTCTCAAGGATCCCAAGAAAGGACTGAGTCCTCACGGGCCTGACCTCTCTTGGCGTCATCGTCGCCTGAGGGTCACTGAGATAGGCAAAGGGAATTTTTGTCCTCGTTAGGAAAGCGGGACCATGTCAGCCATCCACCCCTTCCGCAAGCATCATCAATTAAGGAACCTCTCCGGGTCTCTCAGCCCTGCACCAAGTCAGATGCGGTCTTGCTGCAGTTCTATCCATCACGCCCGAGTCAGGAGCAGTAACCAGCAACTGTTTGTGCTCCTAATAATTCGGTTAAATGAATAATTATGTCGTTCCCCCACCCCCACCCCCTCCAGGATCACTGCAGTCCTGGGTTGCTCGGGAGCCATAAGTCATGTTGAACACTGATGATCTATCACGTCGGGCTTGGGCTGCCTTTGCATCTGGTTTGATGAACTAATCAAAAACTGATTAGCACCTTTGTTCAAAGGGGATGCTGATTAATCAATTACTATTGATTGTGAGCTTGGCTTCCCTCAGCAGCAAAGAGACATCCAAAGGGGGAGAAAAAAAAAAAACAACCAATAAAAATTGAGCAGCTGTCATAGTGTTTAAATTTATTAAAACAAAATACATTATTTTTTATGAAGCTGTCTTGAAATGGGTCACTGAAGGGGAGCATATTGATTGAGAAAGGATGAACTTCTCAAATTTCTGTAGCCTAGAGACTGAATTCAATTATAATACAAGACAAACAGGTTAACACCCGTCTTAAGCAGTCCATCAATAAATTAGAGTAGGTGTTGCGCATTTAATGCTAAACTGTGGTAATGAATAATATTATCATCCATTCCCTTTTCCATCTGGGTGGAAATTTCAGCCTTTCCTTATTACGGATAGATGCTAGATCCTGCATTTCCTTAGAAATAGCGAAGGTCTCTCTTCTGCCCACCTCCCCCCATTCGCCACTGCTACCCGAGCTAATGGCAGTTTCATAAGCAACATACGGCACTCAGTCCTCACCCAGCAAAGAAAGTTGCCCAGCTGATCCTCCTCTTTAATCTGCATTAAAAAATTATGCTTGTGTGTAGTTCGGTGATTTAATAATTGGCAGAGCTGGGGAGCTCCTCCAGTCCTACTTTGAACCCTTTCATTTACTTTTTTGGGTGTTAACGTTATTGATGATGGGCCCCTAAGAGTTTCGAATTGTTTTATCAATTACATCTGCTGTTTCCTGGTGACAGCTGGTGGTTATTGCCACCCGTGTGGAATAGAATGGCTTTAAGCATATTTATCCTTCGATTTTATTTTAAAACTTTTTAAAAAATGTCTGCACTGCCTCCCTCCTTTCAGCAATGGAAGGGTCTTTGGGGACTCTTCAGCAGAGTGCCTTGGTAAATACACATTGTGCCGGAGAATGGCCCTCGGGCACTATCAGAGCAGTCCATCAGTCTTCTGCTTCTGAAGCGGAGGGAGGCACCGATGAGAAATTCCAGAGCTGTCATGCTTCCCCCAAACATGTTTTCAACTCTTGCCCTACAAATAAGAAAGCGATCTAGAAAAATCCCACATCTCCCTCACAATCTGTAGAAGAGTGTGGGCAGAGGGCAACCCCTAAATGGCTCTGATAATCCGTGCCAGGCATGATAGAAGATTCTGGGTGGGCCAGCTGGCATCCCCTGAATGATTTCTGAAGGAGACAGGGGCTCACAATACAGTCTAAATGTAGATAATAGAAGCACATCAAGCCCTTTGGATCCCGATGGTCAGCTCTGGGGTGGGGGGTGGGCTCTGTGACCATCTGGTCCTTGTGAAGGTCCAGAGTCGGCTGAACTTGCTTGAAATGTGTGTGGAAAAACTCAATAGACAGAACATTGAGGGTGGGGGGGGCAGTCTTCCTTGCCCCCACTGACTCGCAATAACGATGATGAAGAAAAACCAGCTGGGCTGTGTAGACAAATTCTAAGTACGGCTTGCAAATCCAGTGTAGTGGTATTTAGCTTGTATACAGTTCTTTTCAGCTTAGAAAAGTCTTTCACAGATGATCTCATATGCTCTTTGCTGGGCACCGCTGTTAGAGCTCCTGTATGTGCTAGACCCTGGGCCGGGCACCAGGCATGCAGCGGTGAACAACACCGCCCAGGAGCGCTGTGGCGATCACACCACAGGCCCCTGCACTCATAGCTACTCTCTAATGGGGCAGCCAGGCTCATGACAACGAGATAATGATGGACAGTGACAAATGTTGTAGAAAAAATTAAAGCGGGTAGAGTGAACATGAGTTACTGGGACCAGAAAGAGGCAGAAGCCAGTTTAGAGCCAAAGCTCCCCACAGAAGGCCACTGGGACAGGGCGAGGGAGCCAGCCCTGGGAGCATTTTCCTGACCGGTCTCATTTTGCGAGTCAGGAAGCTGGGGCTCCCCAGGTTGAATGATTTACTCAAGAAGCAGAGCCAGAATTTGAACGTGCGGGTCTTCGGACCTCTGCAGGAAATAGAGACTAGTTTAAGGGTAGTTCTCCCTCCACCGTGAACTCCACGCTTTCTCTGTTCTGGGGTCTTCTCAGGAATCCTTTCCCTCTTAGACCCCTTTCAATTCAGTGTGTGCGTCCAGGGAATGAGGAGGGGAAAGTTAGCCTCTCTGGAGCCCATCAGAGGCAGAACCACGTGCTCAATGACCTGGAAAGATCCCTTCTGGCATCAACTCAAGCTTTTTCTCCTTCGAAGAAGGCCATTGCCTCAGATGATTTTGGTGTCATTGTCCAACACCGTCTGAAATTCTGGGATCAGTTTCCCACTGAGATGATCCTATAGGCCATGGGAAAGTTTGGGGTCACAAAGTTTAAAACGTGTAGAGTTCCTGATTTTAAAATTCTGTTGAACACAAGGCAGTAGACAGAAGATCGCCTCAGGTCTGTGGCAGCTTGGCCACAGCGCTCCCAGGATGGGAGTTTGAAGGTCATTGAATTGCTGATCTTCCCATAATCCAACATGCTACTGTTTCCCTCATGGGGAGGAAGGAGGCCATCAAACAGGAACGTTTCCTCCAAACTAGTGAGGCGCCAGGCTATGCCACGAAATGTGAATTCCAGTTCCACAGGTTGGACACTGCCTTGGGGTGACTTCACCATACTCATTAATCCATCCTCCTCACACCCCCAAATGCCTGAGGTCCACAGGAGCATCTTTCTCCAGAAAGAGATTCTAGTGGGAAATGAATGTTTGGAAATACTTTACGACTCTGTCCTCTTTCTCAGCTGTACACTCTTTGAAGGAGAACTCTGGTTCCATCCTCCCATGCCTTCCTGTTGCTTCCAAGGGAAAAGGCACTCTCACTTTGAAGTCCTTGTTATGAGATGAGTGGAGTGGACTCCTGAGTGTGCCTCCTGGCCTCTGGGGACACTGAGTGTTTGGGAGGACCCTGTCGGGCTCATTAAGGCATTTCTGCTGTTGGGTAAAATAACTAAATCAAGTTGTGGGAGAAAAAAATCAACATAAAAAGTATTTGTTCTCAGTATTTAGCTGACAATAAATACTTCCAGTCCTCATGCTCAGAAGGGACACCTGAGTCATGACCTGACCCAGCTGGCCTTCAGCCTTGACC